CTCTCAGCATTGGACAGATCATCTAGGCAACAAATTAACAGAGTAACCATGATTCTTTCAGAAGGAGAGAAGAAATCTAGGGTAATTAGAGGGGGGAGGGGGAGGGAATGGAGGATGGAGAGAGATGGGACAAGGGGCATAAAGAATAATTACGATTTGTAACAATATATATGCTAGTAATATTGATTTTATCAACATATCTCAATGTTCAACTCCAAAAAAAAAGTATAATTGATTTTGATTCAATAAATAAAATGAATTAAAAAAATAAAAATAAAAATAAAAATATGTACTCAGTACCTTCTATGCTGCAAGCATCTTATAAAAGTATTGCATGATGGTTAAAAATGGGGACTTTGGCCTCACTATTTATTAGCTATTGGGTCTGGGGCAAATTACTTATCCTCCAAACCTCTCTTTCTTTATATGTGAAAAATCTACTGTTTGTAGTAATTGTGAGAGTCAAATGAGCTAATGTGTACAAATACTTAGTGTGGGGTTTGGCACATAGTAAAAACTGAATTTTGCTATTACTGTTGTATATAGATATTTGGGTAGATTTTAGTTTATGGACAAAGTGTCTGCCATTACTGCCAAAAGAATGCAGGACCGAGGAGGTCAGGTATAAGTTCAGAAACCACGCAGCATGGTAGAGATATGCAGAAAGCAGTTTGCTGTGATTCTTTGCTTCTCCTCCCAGGCAGAGTGAATGACACGCCTGCAGCAGTAGGAGTAGTTCCAGCTATCCAGACGGCTCGCAGATTTTCCATGCACACACACTACAGGATACTGATTACTGTCCTAGTTCTTCCTAGTTCTTTTAAGTAACCTGCTTACTTTCCCAGCTCTTACATTCATATCACTCCAGGGTGGAAAAGGAAAGATGGAAGGAAGTATAAATGTTAGTAATGCTTACAGCTAAAGCTCATTCTTAACTGGGCAACTTTCTAAGGCAGACCTTAAATGTGGTGAACATATCTTTTGAGTAAAAAATTGATATTATATATTCCGAGGAATTTTGTCCTTTTTCCAAATATGAGAGGCAGACTATATGTGAAATATTATAATTTTTGGAACATCTCAGTAGTTGTGTGTGGACAATGGCATAGAATATTTTGAAATTGTACTATCTACATTTAAATGAATTAAAATTAAATGCCATTAAAATTTTAGTTCCACAGTTGCATTAGCCACCTGTCAGTGCTCAGTAGCCACATGTGGCAGGTGGTCACTGTATTGGACAACATAGATATAAAACATTTTCATTTTCACAGTAAATTCTAGTGGACACACTGCTCTAGAATATGTGGTTGGTATAGTTACAGACTGTCAGAGAATAGTACAATCTTGGACCATATGCCCTATAATAAATCTTTTATCAATTCACCAAGATTCTCTCAATTCCTCCAACATTGCTGTAAGGGGCAGTGCAAACAGCATAGGGCTGGGCCTCAGAGGCCTTTCGTTCAGATCTTAGCTACCACATAGACTTGCTGAGTTCCTGTGAGCCTCTCTCCCAGCCTTTGTTCCTTCTTCTATGAAATAAAGGAGTTGGGCCAAATGAGATTCTTTTTTTGAGCTTTAAAATTCAGTGACTTAATAAGTCTTTTTCCATGAACATTGAGCTTACAGGTGCTACTTTGACCAAAGACTTATTTGAAAAACAGTGACACCTTGGCATAGATAACGGTCAGCAGGACCTGTCTCTGATGTCTGCTTTTCAGCTCTGTATCCAAAGCCTGATGGGCTCTCAACCAGTCAGGATCCTCTGCCCAGGGATTCACCAACTGTGTGTTTTGATCTTGCATCATTATCACCTTGGCATAGATAACGGTCAGCAGGACCTGTCTCTGATGTCTGCTTTTCAGCTCTGTATTCAAAGCCTGATGGGCTCTCAACCAGTCAGGATCCTCTGCCCAGGGATTCACCAACTGTGTGTTTTGATCTTGCATCATTACACATGTAGATGTGTTGCATGTGATTCTGTGCTGTTGGAAGTTTCATACCTACCTTTACAAAGGGCCTCGTTGCATTAATGTGGGTTAGTGACTCTCCTGAGGGTGATATGCCATGAACTGTGGTGGTGGCAAGGGGAGTTCTTGGCAATTACACTCCCCAGCTAGACTATGAAGGACAGTGGTCTTGTGACTTGTGTGCTGTGATTTGGTGTCATAGCTTTTCCCCAGCCTTAGCCAAAATTGAACCCACAGCATTCAGCCAGCAGCAGCTGCTCAACACCTGTGCTGGCCCACTGCTTCCTGCCTGTTGTGGTCAGAGGGAGATGAGTCTTTTCCCAGAAGCATCTTTGTGTTCAGCAGCTTTAGACATCCAGACAAGATATTGCTAGTCTGCCTGCTCAGGGTAAGGATTTTCTTTTTCTCTAGTGACCTGAGGTCATTAGATTGAATAAGAGCGATTACTGACTTTTTCTGCTAAGTTACTATTGGGGAGTTGAGGAGAGAATCTGGTCATTTTGGAAAATCATGTGTAGAGTCCTAGCTCCTTGAGCTGCCTGTCACTGAGCTACTGTATCCTTGTCCTTGGATAAGGCCCTGAACTTTCTGAGCCTTAACACTCTGTAAACGCTTCCCTTCCATCTGATATCATGAGGTGGAATTTAATATTGGTGTTATTTCAGCTTCCCGTTTTCCTATAGAAACAAGAGTTTTCACTGAGCACGCAAATGACTAGTATTTTAAAAAATAAATAATTAAGGCTATAACTTGAGTAACTAGAAACAGAGGGAAATACCTCTCTGTTTCACTTGAGGAAGCTTTTACCTAACTTTCAAATGCACCAGGACATTTTTAGGTTTTTATTTTAATTAAAATCCATTTATTTTAAAACTCATTACAAATATGGGTTTTACATATTAGCAGTTATTTTAAAAAGAAAGAAACATTTTGGTGAAGCCTTGGTCATCCTTGGCTTACCCTTGATGTGATTCATTTAGCACTGTTCTATTAAATGTGTTTCAATATTATCAATAACTAGAATTGTCCCTTTCAATCCTCCTCACCCCTGACTCCCTCTGGCTCGTTCTTTTTCTCTTTTTGTTTCTCTCCCTTCTCTTTCCTCTTCTTTAGCCTAACCTCACTGTCCAGGCCCCATGTGGAAAAAGGTTGCTGTTTTCAGTTAGTCTGGGGGAAAAAATCCTATGATTCACTCTCTTTCCCACCCACCTTGTGGTGGGGTGCTTGCGGTCTCAAATCAGCAGACTCTGTGTGTGTGTGTGTGTGTGTGTGTGTGTGTGTGTGTGTGTGTGTGTGTGTGTGTGCAGCGCGCACTCCCGCCTGCAGGCCTGGTGTGTGTGTGACTGCAAGCGCATGCACTCGCCGTCACGCCCGCCTGTGTGTAATGTGTATGTGTGTGTACGTGCGCGTGTATGCACGCAGCGCGCGCGCGCATAGCGGCATGCCCACCCGCAAGCCCGGTGTGTGCGTGCGTGTGTGTGTACATGCGTGCGTGCAGCGCGCGCACACGCCAGGCCACCCGCCCGCGGGTGGGGTTCGCCCGCCCACACGCTGGGCTGGGGGCCGCCCGCCGGTGCCCCTCCACCCTGTGCGCGCCCAGCTGTTTCTAGAGGAACTGCCGCAGCTCCGGGCCCCTCCAGCAGAGGTCCCCGTGCGAGCATGCCCAGTGCAAGCCGCTAGTTTGGCTCCGGTGTAGGTTTCCAGTAAGTGGCATGCGGGACTCAGGAGAGATCCCAAAGAGCTGAGCCGAGAGCCTTTGTGTGCACAGGGAGGAGGCGGTGGCGGCCGCCTGGCTGGAGACCCCGCCCGGGGAGCCCCCGGCAGGAACAATGCTAGCCTGCCTGACGCGGGGGAACTTACTGGACGTCCTGCAGGAGGGCTTCAATGAGGTAACTGTCCTGCTCCTCCCACTCCCCAACTCCCCTCCCCCAGCATCTCCCGCCTTATCTCCGGAACTCCTGCAGGAGGGCTTCAATGAGGTAACTGTCCTGCTCCTCCCACTCCCCAACTCCCCTCCCTCAGCATCTCCCGCCTTATCTCCGGAACGGGTCCTCCTCCGCTCCATCCTATCCGGGACCCCAGAACAAATCGCCCGACTAGCCCCAGGGGGGCGAAGGTGGTGGGTGCGGTGCAGAGGTGTGAACCGGGAGAAATCAGAAGGGCTGCCTGTCTCCAGCTAAGCTGGGTGATGACCTTCCCTGGTAGCTTACCTGAGCCTAGAGGACAGCACCACAAATTCAGAAGTCATCTCCCTCCAGAAGAGATGGTTTCCACCCTCCCCGGGAATTCTCTGCAAGGAAATCCCCAAGGAAGTCCCGGATACATGGCAAAAATGCGCATGCTATTTCAAGAACTAACCGGCTGAGCCAAGGGAGGGTTGGGGTGGCATGGCATTGGTAGAAAGTTTGAGAGGGGGCAGGAGACTGTGGGTGTTGTACATGAAGTACCCTCTCCATTTTTGAATGTCCTTCTGAATCTGAGGCAAGGACATGGTTGGCGGAGAAGAGTTACCGAGAAATGGGGGAACTGGGTTCTGGGCCCAGTTTGGGGAGACGGCGTTTGCTCCCTTCCGTGTGAGAGCGGGGAACTGGGGTCCAAATGGGACAGGCAGGACGGGCCAAGGCTGACTGGGGGTCATTTCCTCCTCACTTGTTTTCCCTGACAATTCTGTTATTCTATTTGCCTCTCTTGTGACCCAGGACATTCTGGTTTGGGACCCTTTCCCCTTGCGACTTGCTCCACATGTCTACTTGCATTGCTTCGAGCCCCAGCCTTTCGGTGGCCTTAGCCCAGCATCCAGGGAGACATAGGCTGTAGGCTGTGCCTTTCTTCCTTTCTCCCTCTCTCTTTTTTTTCCCATCTCTCTCTTTCTGCCCTCTATGGCTCTTTTTCTTAAATTTAAGTTTTTTGCTTTTTAAATCAGTTTTTTGGCAAACAATTAACATGAGTACATGCTTTTCTTAAATATGAGCATTACAGGCAAGACTTGTGTCTTTGGCTCCTCCCCCAATCTCAGCCTCCCCCCGCCCCTCCAATCTGAGCCTTTTCCTCGGAGGTTACGATTCTCTTGAATTTGTGTATAAGATTTTCTTTCTACAGCTGCACTACAGGCTTTCCCCTATTTCCTGTTTCTAATTAAGAAGCTCTGCAGCCTGATCTGCCTCAGAACCTTCTCCACTCCCAGCCCCTGTGCCCCAGCCTTGTTCCAGACAGAGAGGAAAACTACAGAAATGCGTCTCAACCTAACCAACTGAGTCAGAATTTTCCTTTGGCTGAGGGGTGTCACAGCCTTGATAGAAGGGCAGAGCTTGCACCCTGCCTGCACTGCAGAGCTCCTCGTCTTTGCCTCACTCCTGCCTGAACACATGTAAGGGGATTGTTAACAAAGAGCTACAGTCAGAGAGCTGAAACACTGAAGAGCCAGGAAGCCCACCTCTTTGATTGCTTCCAGTGTTCCTGGTTCCTCTTTTCGCTCTCTCTGCCTTTGGGCCTCCCCTGGTCCTCAGCTGCAGAAGTCTAACTCATCAACCAATTGTGGCAGAAACTCCTTTGGTATTCTTATGGCCTCCCTCCGCCCCCACCTCCACCTTTTTTTTTTTTTTTCACCCCAGCTCCCAAGTGTCTGATTAGGAGGAGGAAACCAGCACAGAGTCAGTCTTAGTCTTTGTTTTCTGCTCATTTTCACTTCCAATCCTTCCAACTGAAGTGCTGCATAAACCAAGAGGCTTGCCTATCTTTTTCATGCTTTGGAGCTTCCATAAATATCCATTCTTATGGCCCCCCTCCGCCCCCCCCTCCCCCTTTTTTTTTTTTTTTCACCCCAGCTCCCAAGTGTCTGATTAGGAGGAGGAAACCAGCACAGAGTCAGTCTTAGTCTTTGTTTTCTGCTCATTTTCACTTCCAATCCTTCCAACTGAAGTGCTGCATAAACCAAGAGGCTTGCCTATCTTTTTCATGCTTTGGAGCTTCCATAAATATCCCCTGACCTCTAATTCTTATAAAACATAAGGGAAAAGGGGAGTGGGTGGGTTGTCTTTTTGTGGTGGTAATGGAATCTTCTTAAAAACAACAGACACACAACTTTATAATTAATTCATGTCTAGAATAACGCAGTAATGCCTCTTTTCCCTCTCCAATATTTAATTTTTCTACCCATCCTGTAAACTTCCCTCCACCCCCTCCACAGGCTAATGTACATCTGTTCCCTTCTGTTAGTAGATTTGAACTTTGAGAGCCAATGACTACTTTTGGTTTCTCTGAAAAATTGACATCATCTAAATAATAATAATAATAATGTTAAATTTGAATGGTCCCTTACATTTACATAATTCTTTCTCATACATAGTAAATTCTATTAAATAATTCTTTTCACATACAGTATCACATTTAGTGCTACTGAATAATGGTATGATTGGTTATTACAGAATCCATGGGGCCCTCTTTGACCTTTTCAGCCTCTAGGGCTGCTTAATAGATCCAGTAATATTCAATCCTTTTGTTAGAGTCATGAGATAAGGATGTAAATAGGGGCTTAAAAGCTAGTGTCAAATACACTTGAATTCCTCTGAGAAACTCTTCTTACTGAGACTAAGAACACCACACATATATCCAGTCATCTCTTGGTAATGATCCAAGTATAGCTGAAGCTATTCTTCATCACCCAGATGCTTTAGGGGTCTGTGTGGTTAGGGCTGTGACCTCATTCTCTATGGCGGAGGAAACCGCCACAGGAAATGGAGCTATGGCCCTAATTGGTTAATTATAAGGGAATCCTGCAGCAGAGAGAAACTCTGCCGTCTGAATCAAGGCTTCCCTCTACCCACTGTTGGCCTCTGTTCTCAGTCCATCTACCACGATGCATAACTTTGCATGAGAGAATTTTCTTCTACCACATTTCCTGTACGGAGCCCTGGTCTCAACATGTGTGGCAGATAACTCACAGAATTGATGTATGTCAGTGCTGTCAATGCAGTTCCTTTTATTGACATGGTTAATTTGCACTGTGAATTATCCACAAGTTTTGGCTACTGCCACATACTGTAGCCCATCCTGGCTGTCATTTCTTGTCTCCTATGTTCAGGGCTTGCCCAGTCTTTCTATAGTTCACAATTTCCCCATTCTGCATCTGCTTCAAAGCTATTTATTTGTTTTTATCTGCCACTTATCAGTGTTGTCATATGAATGTTGTCTTTGGTTAATGTTTCTGCAATGATTTTCTGAGGGATGAACTTCCTTTAAAAAAGACTTTGGTGCTTGTGTTGGAAGGTTTTGATAGACTTGAGATTATGATGTGGTTTGGCCAATAAGCATTTACTTATTTAGTTATTCAGTCATTTATTGATTGGGAGAGGGATAGACAAAATAATTTAAAAACACTCAGTTCCTGCTTACATGGAATTTATGGGAAGAGATGGGGTACTAAAAAAGCCATAATAGGGTGCATAGTGTGATAAATGTCATAAAAAAGCTAATATTTGTAGATTATAGAGATACCTTCTAGTTAATGATATTATGAGAAGCACCAAACATTTACCAACCTACCTGCTCACTGAGGCCACATTTTGTTTTCTTATAATCTGGTATATGCAGGCAAGCAATCACTCACCAGACATTCACTGAATTACTGTGTTTACCAGGCACTGTGCCAGCCTCTAGAAATAGAAGTCAACTAAGATAGAGTCTGTGCCCTAATGGAGCTCACAGGGCAATGCAGATAAAGAAAGTAAACGCTCAGAGTATCAAACTTGGGAAAATTGTGGTGATAAAGAAATCTTGAGTGTGGGGAAGAGTGAACCTATGCCTGGCTGTGGTGTGAATGGCCTGCGAGGCTGGAATTCGTGGGAATGATTTATAAAAATGTTGGTCAACAGGAAATCAGTTGTCTGAGCCTTAACCTTTTGAACTTACGATCTGGCAGACTTTCCCTACCGGCTTCCCTCTAAGTAGAAAAGTAGAAAGTGAAATCCCATATTAAGATTCATCCACTTGGCAGACCCTGAAAAATACAGGAAGAGCCTTTGTCTGATCTCATCCCTATAAGGGGGACATAGAGGGATTGAGGAAGAGGATTGGCAGGTGGAGCACCTGCAGTGAAACTCCTAAGTGCCTCGCGCCTTCCATGAGGTAGCACTGGCAAGGTTGGGCCAGCTAGATGCTTTCAGACATTTCCATAGTGAATTCCTCTGCTCTGTAGAAATTAAAGGCCTGTTAAGTCTTTAATAAAACAAAGCATCACAGCACTCAACCTTTTTTTCTATCCCGACTGATTTCTCCTCTTCCTACCCAGGCTCTTTGGCTTTGTTCACAGGAGTCAATGCCAGCTCAACAGATGCTCCGTGGCAGCAAGCTACCAGGCAGCTTTATGTTCCTCATGATGAGTGATGGGCTGGCCAGGCATGTGGAGCAGTGCTAGGGCACTGTTTGCCAGGTGTCACTCCCCCAGGCAGCTCAGAGGGTCTAGGGAGTACTAGAAATGCTTCATCAGCCATGACTGACCTTGTTTAAACTGTAAGAACCAAAAAAAAAAAAAAAGCCTCAAACTGACACTTTCCTGAATGCATTTCCTTGTTTGTTTTCCCCTAAACCAGGCCCCATTTAAGTGATTATGGACATAACCTTCAGTAACCAGGTGGGGTAAGGGGAAAGGGAACCAATTCCAAAGGCCCTGAGGGGGGCTGTATGTCTTGTTTCTAGGATAAGGGACACGTAGACTGTAGAGCGACACCTCATTCACTCATTCTTTTAAACTGTAAAAACAAAAAAAAAAAAAAAAGCCTCAAACTGACACTTTCCTGAATGCATTTCCTTGTTTGTTTTCCCCTAAACCAGGCCCCATTTAAGTGATTATGGACATAACCTTCAGTAACCAGGTGGGGTAAGGGGAAAGGGA